GACCAGGACAAAATGGCCCTCAACATTAACAGCCCAGAATCAGAATTTCAAAGTCAGTGTTATTTGAGAAACTAATCCTGTAGTGAAGTTGGGTGTTACATTTCTGCCTTTTCACTCTTTAAAACTCTTGCCTTGAGCTCTGGTCACTAAGCACAAAACCAAAGAAATGGGTTTGGAGCTCTAACTTAACTAGTGGAAACTCAACTGAATGATAATTAATAATAATACACCAAATATGCATTTCTTCCCATAGATCACAACTTGCTAATAATGAAGATTTCAGTCAGTTTAACCTGATCTCTTAGGTATGTCTAGACTTGGCCAAATCCATGAAGTCCAGAAATAGTTGAGCTAGTTCCAGTGCCAAAACCATTCTATCTACAGGAGCAAGGAGCAACTTTTGAGCAAGGAGTGATTTTTGGGGTAGATTAACTCTTTCAGATCTCAGTGCAAGACTCCTTCTAAATCCTGAAATATCCTGGGCAACTCTACAACGTCCTAAAGCGTACCAGGAAGACGTACCCACAACTCTCCTGTGCTTTGGTGCCTGGGATATCAGCTTTGTGTCTCATCTGTGAGCTTTCACTCATCAGTTACAGGAAACATTTTGTGAGCTGAGTGAAGAGAAACTTGGATTTTTCCACTGCACTCAGTTTTATAGATCACTAATCATAATCTGATATACTAGGAGCCAGTAGTCTGGTCATTTCTGTCAGGCTTTTGTGCTGCTTTGTGTTCAGTAACTCACGTTACCTTCAAAAAACTAGCTTTCAAAACAAATACACAGTGTTTGCAGAAGCCGTTAGCAAAAAAAGCTGGCTGACAGATATATAGTCCTCAAAACATACTCTCCAAACACATCTGCATTTTCTGAACTTCCCTCAAGATTTTTGTTGCCTGCTACCTTTATAATCTAGAAATGAAATAAAAAGTTTTAAAAAGGTAAGTAAATAAATCAGTGCCTTTTATTATAATTCCAGATCACGATCCCTGCTCTTGCAGATGTGTGTGTTAGACAGGAAACATTTTGACCCTTCCAGCCAAACACCAACTCCCACAGCTAACAAACATCAACTTCATTTAATCTATTTTTGTAACTAAAACGCACACCTTGCCTCCACAGCAAATACCAGCATACAGACATCAAGAGCCCTTGCCAGTAAGAAGCTGCAGATTTTTTAATATTTTAGAAAGTACTAATTCTTCTGATGAAAAACAGACTGGTATCGGACATCCTAAACGTAGCACCCGACAACCATGACACGCAGACTCACAAGACCCTTTTGAAACTCAGGAAGAGAAAAGCATGACTACAAAGAAAGACAGAAAGTGAAAGAAGATAAGAAAAACAATTATTAGTGTAATTTGTAAGAGACAAAGTCATTATGGGACTCCCCAGCCTAAGGAAATTCTGAATTTAAAAGAGTGAACCTCTCAAAGCACATTCAACATTCACATTTTTACTACCGCTAGCTTTCTTGGACGGTCGTTTTATACCATCGTTCATCACTGGAAAATATGGTCTGATGTGCAAGCAATAAAACATTGACCAAAATCCTGTAAAATAAAGACTCGTTTCAACACATGAGAACTTTTTTATGGTACTGTAAAAGGCTTGAGCAACTTTTAGTCCACTTCTGAACAGACATTATTTAGCCAAAGGGATGCCTTCTGCCTAGGCGCTGGACCACACCGTGAGGGGCTCTCCTTTCAGAGGAGGTCCTCCCAGTGCTCCTCCCACGCTCCTTCATCCCTCAGCTACCTCATTCCTCCTCTGTGACATGCAGAGTCGCAGGGCTGCAAAGTATGTTTTGCTCTGTTTCGTCTGCTCTCCGGCTGAAAAGCAGCCACTAAGGGGTTAAGCTCAAAGCACCAAGCGGCTGCCTCCCCAGCTGAAGGATTGATTTGATCATTCTTCAGGGATTCCCTCTTGTATGAGTCACTGCTCAGACAGACTCCCCACGCAAGGAGGCCAGGATAATGCCATTCCTCCAGAGACTACAACAGCTGAGGGCTAGCCCTGAAGACGGAGAGCTTGGGACTCATGCTTGGAAAAACATTCAGCGGACCACAATGCACTCGGCAGACTTAAAGAAATTATTCAGACAGAAGGGGGGAAAAAAAAAGGGCAAACAAAAAGTGTTCTCAAACTCCTTGCATTAACCAATTAAGTATGCAGACTAGCATGAATTAGATGAGCTCCTGGAGACTGCCTCCCGGCTTGGGCACTCTACCCGAGTGAGGACTGAAGACATGAACTCATGTAGTATAGTATTTAAATTTTATATAAAAGATACGTTCTCTTTATAAGTGCAATGATTCCTGTGATCTATTGCTTTGTAATAGCTGTGTTTGGCTGCTACCCACTAGGAACGTGATTAACATTTTGAATTCAAAAACAAAAGCGGTAACAGCAGCAAAACTAATGAATGTCTCCAGCTAATCACAAAAGTTCATAACCAGCTTGCTAAGAGAAAGAGAAACTATGCTGGTGTTCCCTCTCTTGACCTACTTTCACAGACGTGCAAGAGCTGAAAGGGAAAGAAACACCGCGTGCTGATTTACAAAAGTGAAGGCTGGTAACGCTTGTTCATTTGACATTAAATACAGCCACTGCTCAAAATTGAGCCGGAGCAGTCTGCCGCTAAGACAACGATGCATCGCGCTTGTTTGCTTCCAACGCATTGAGCTGTGTTCGGCAACGTAGCACATGACTTGTGACAGAAGCCCGAGAAATTGCTCAGCCCAGGTCAGCCGGCAACTTTGCTTTTTGGGTGCCATTCGTAGTGACATGACTGCAGCTCCCGGAGGTGCCGAACGCTCTCGACCTTAAAGGCTCGGCCCCTGCAGTGTACCTCCACCAGGCAGTACTGCCCTGCAGGCACGACAAATCTACCGTGAGACTACTAAAACCAGGCAGGACAGTTTCAGATCAGATCCTTCAATACTGACTTAATGATCTTGATTACTCTTCAACGGTAGCAGCTCACTGACTGGCTCCTGCAGCGTTGCCCCTGACTCCATGCCAGGGGGAAGAGCGCAGGGGATCTCCGGGGGTGCTTCCACGTAGAAGAGACACCCCTGCACTGCTCCATCCTGCCAACCCATGCGCCCAAGGAGTTCACCCCAAGAGCTTTTCAGGGTGACAGGCAAGGCCTTTGGATCATTTTCCTCCTCATCAGCACACCCAGTGTGCAGCAGTACACTCCTTCATCTCCCACAATGGTTGAAAAAATGTTGCTCATATAAATTATTTTCTATTATATGCTGTCTTTGTGCAGCCTCAAATTCCTTTTGCTCGAGGGAGGTATCTGTCTGGTTAAGAAATACAAGGCTGGCCCCAGTTTGCATTTCTGCAACTTAAGGCTATACAGTGAACATCTTGCTTTTAGTGTACTTTATGATAAGGGAGACGGTGTCCAAATCCACACTGTGGTACCTGCTGGTGGGTGAGTAGTGTCACCATCATAATCCCTTGGGATGTGATACTTCAAAATTTGTCCAACTCAGTGAAGGAAGAGGAGAGAAAATAAATATGAAGGAAAGCACCCTTTAACATGGTTTTCTTGCTGTAATGAGACAGATCGAGGACTTTGCTCCTGACATGTCACACTAACCCACTTCTGTGCAGCAAAGGAAGTTTAAAGTAGACAGTCACGTTCTTCCCTTCCCTCATGCTACACAAAGAGCAGAGTTCGGGTTTTTTTAATTGCAATACCACTTTCTTAGCAAACAGAAAGGGTGTTCTGCTCATCTCACGGCCACAGCCCAACAGCAACGTGGGGGGTCACGGGAACGGCACAGACCGGCTCTCGCCAAAGAGCTGGGGCATTACCTCCACCCCACGCATGCTTTTGGTGACTTAAACCTCACCAACCCACGACTCTGCCGGGGAACTTCAGGGAACTCTTCTGCTCTTCCCCTGGGTCAGCTGAGCTCAAAGACTCAGCTCTTCACCTCCAGAGCCTCCCCCGCTCGCCTCGCCATCCCCTCCTGTGGCCCGGCTTCCCATGCCGCCCGCACGGGCAACGGGCAGGAGAATGGCGCAGGAACTCCATGGACATGGAGGGTTAAACATCTGCAGTATCAAAGCCAGCGCTGGCAGCCTGAGGAGCGCCCAAGACTGTTTAAAGTTCAGGGAGGGGGGTTTTCAGCCGGCAGCTGAGGAATCCATGGCTTGTGCCAGCGCCACGGAAACCCTTTCCAAAACAAGGCTCAAAACTAGCCTTCACGATCTCGTTTCAGAGCCTGACTTTGACTCACAGCTCCGCTCCCTCCGCCTTTTACCGCAGGGGCATTCGCGCGTGTTGTGCGTTGTCACCCTGTGACCCACCGCTCCCACAGAGACCTCCTGCTCTGGCCTCGGCTCCCACCCCACGCTGCTTGCCCTGCTTCAGCCTGGCTCGGGACCCTTCCCCAGGAGGACCAGTCCCACCACCAATGCACTGCAGAAGCAGCACCAGTTGTGGGGGCCAGTCGTGTTCAGTTCTCCCCCAGCCCTCAAGGTAAACCAGAAACACGTCCTTCAAATGAACGCTGCAACTCCTCCTCGCCAGCAGCTTGTAAGTGCCACCGGTCTCAACTGCCCCAGAAGGAGACACGGCTGCGCACACATACCACCAGCAGCACTGCTCCCTCTTCCACAAATTACAGAAAGGTTTTAACGAGATGCACCATCTTGCAGGTTTTACAGGGACTTGCCATTGGAGGCTTCGAACACTTTTCACAGGTCCTACCCGGTACAGCCATGGTTTGCTACAAAAACAAATGCCAAACGCTGACCTTCAATATCTACTGTCTACCTGTAACGACACCTGCCACAGTGCGAAACCTCAGCATTAGGCATGGCTCAGATCACTTTCACAGCTTTGCGCAGTGACACGGAAAACATATTACGTGCAGAAGAAAATGTCATTACCGTATTTATGCTTTCATCGTTTGGCAGAGATTTTGAAACAGGGAAAAAAAGGCAGACCGGAGTCTAGATTGAAAAGACATACCTGGTGCTTTCTCCACAAAGATGACTTTGGAGTCTTGCAGAAAGTTATGGCCAGTCAGTATCATTTTTTTCCCTCCAATAACAGGAAAGCTGTCAGTACTTTGCTTCTCCACCAGAGGCAGTTCTTGGGCAGATCTCTGAGCTGGAGAGTTATAAAGATAAAAAAAAAAAAAAAAGCAACCACAAACACACACATACACACAAAAATAAGTAAATACCACATTAGTAAGCAACTTAATGCTTACCCTCGTAAGATAAGCTGAGTTTGATACAGAAACAAAAAAAGGTCAGAAAGTTTGCAGGAAACACGGCTGGTTTTCAAGCGCCTGGATCGTAAACAATAGGGTTATCAAACATCGCAGTACAGATTCAAAAGGCTCACAAAGAACAAGCTGTTTTAAAAGTCAGCCTGATCTGTACTGTATCACAAAGTATATTTTTATTGAAATTTGTTTATTTGAAATAATTCTCTCTCATGTTATCTATAACATATATGCCGTGTGTTTAGAAGGCACACATGACAACATGACCATCCAGGCCCAAAATGTGTTTCAGTCACTATACACTGTACTGCCAATTCTGCAAACTGTCCTGCAGCAGCAGCAGCAGCCACGGGCCTCGCGATCCAGCAGAAGCTCACAGTTTAGAGAGCGTACTTCCACCAGCACCTGAGTGCCAAAGCACACGTGGATCCATGCAAACGGAATCCGGTACTCTCGCGGCACATATTTTATTCCCCCCAACTGGGACACGGAGCAAGCATGGCTGTGCTTCAAGGGATGACGTGACATTCTATCCAGATTACACGGCTCCTCCTGGTGTCACATGCACTAAGAGATGCAGGAAGCTTCTGGCACCAGCTTATTCCACATTCTGCACTGGAAATAACACTAGCACTTATTTTTTCTCCTGTTTTCCGCTCCTTTCAGGAGGCACGTACCATGCTTTTGCTCATTACACAACCCTCAAAACTGCAGTTCACTGATACAAATCCAATTGGCTTCATATTTAGTGCCTTCCTGAGCCTGGCACTTTTGCTCAGACCAGTTCAGGATGTATTCAAATTGTGCCTTATCCTGCTATATAGCAACTGAAAAGCTCTCATCAGCTTCAACAGAAGCAGGATGAAACCACGACTCCTCACATTTTTTGCTTTGTGCGTTAGCCTAGAACTTGCCCTTGAATAAGAAACAAAGGCAAAATTATTCATCTCATACATGTCCTGGACAGAAGACAGGGCTTTATGCCAGTCTATCTGCTATAGGTAAGAAGGCTCTGCTATTCTTCATAAATAACATAGGCTTATCTTAATGTAACTCCCTTCCCACTGCCAACACTCATTTGTTTATTTAAATGAATGACAGTGGAGGAGAGAAGCTATCCCTGTCGGTCTAACAGCACTACCCTTTCCTACAACTTCTGCCTCTCCTGCAGGCTTGGACTACCAGAGCGGCAGCGGTACTACCCTAGGCGAAAGGATGGAGCGCTGGCACTGGTCTGAAAGTCTGTCACCAATGCCACTGCTTTTGCAAAAGGGAATGCAGGGATGCTCTTTGCTGCAGCCTCCCTGTTAATGGTCCCTGAAAAAGCACTACGCTTCCAAGAGATCAAATGCTGACACGCTCCAGGACCTGCCAGACATGTTGTGTGGGATTCCAGCCCGGCAAAGATGCAGGCACAAGCACAAACAAGACCCTCCAGTACGCGTGGAGCTAGGGATGGTCAAGGCATCCTCCCCATCCCCTCTGCTCCCCACCCCCAGAGCTCACCCCCCACATCCCCGCCAGATGTTAAGTTACTCCCTACCCTGTCTGCATCAGAAAGATCCACTTTGTGGAATCCAACAAAACCTTAAAAAACTGTTTCACTCCATCCAGATGACCAAATTAGCATTGGGAGTTAGACTGAAATTCAATTTCCACCACTTACGCTGCGGTCTTAAAGCTACGCAAAGCAAGCAGGTTTTGTTTTGTGTGTGGGAGGATGACAAGGCTTACAGAGCAAGGATGATATAGATGTCTTTGGAGGGTGTCCCAGTGTATCTGATAAAAAGCAGTCTCTTCAATCAAAGAGACCCCAGTGCGGAAACCTGGTTTCTGGAGGTTTTCTGAAGCTGCAGGCAGCTTGTGCCAGTGTGTCAGTTCTAGTATACTGCTAGCTCCTCATCAAAGGGGTTGGGGTTTTGTTTGCTGCTTTTTGCTTTATGATGGGGAGGCAGAGAGTGAACAGGACATGGTAGCTGTTTTCCAAAACTCCTACAGCAGTTACCTGTATGATAGGGAGTCACCAAAAAAAGAAGTCTTGTCCCTTCCAGGTCAGCTGTTAGTTTAAGTGCACTCTTGTTTTAAGTGCGTTCTTTCCTATTGAAATCAATGCACAAAGCTACACATTTTTTTCTAAGACGCGGGTATTTTGTCTTCAATATAAACCATGTGCTTTTGGAAAGCAGATTAAGGTTCACCAACTGGACAGGTAAAGCAAAACCAACGTACAGCATGTCGGTGGACAAAGACTGCGTGTGGGACGGCACAATACCCCGCAAGAGAAGGATGTTTTCTCCTACTTACAGCACTCGATGGGGTTGGAGGCTACTTGCAAGGAGAGGGTCCTGCCATTGGCCTGCGGGATATGAACCCTGAACACCAGCCGCACACGCGTGTTCTTCCGACCGATGTCCGTCTCCCCCTTGCGCAGCTCGATGTCAGAGTTTCGGAGCTTTAATATCCCAGCACAGTCGATGCTATCCAAAAGGAAACACAGAGCAATGCAATTCATTTCAAGCAGACTTCAGGAAGACAGGAGCATGCGATCTCTCTCCTCTTTCCTGTACATCCTTCTTAAAAATCTGAGTCAGGCATGACGCAATGACCAGGCTGAACACAGCAGACTTTGTTAAGGCTAGTACTGGCATCCACAAGTAGCTAAGTAGGGGCTATCTGTAGTAACAGACAGTAGCTGCTGTTGAGCACACAAGTTTAGGATGTTACTTCAGTTCCCAGAGGAAGAAAGTCTAAAAGACTTTCTAAAATGATGGTGCTTACAGATTAACCAAAGCCCCCAAAAAATAGCGAGACCAGAAGAGTCAATGGGATGAGATGGTAATGCACAAAGTGTTACTAACCTGGAATGCAGTATTACTTACAATTGCACTTGTTACAGCTAATTTGGAGAAAAATCTGACTTGATTTTTATTCTAGGGCAAAGTCCTGAAAATGCTTATTAATGAGCACAGCTCTCCCTGGGGTCAGTTCTACTGTCAAGGTGTTTGTATTTGAATGAGTTGGAAATACTCCCAAACTGAGTGTCAAGCTGAAGCTCTGCATGAAAAAAACTAAACTCAGAGTCCTCCCTCCACATTAGGGAAAAACATGCTTTTCATCAGATAGAACTGTTACTGTTTCTGACCTCTCTCTCCTTTTTTTAACTTTGCTTTTCTCCTGGATGAGTTTACAAGTCAGAATTTTTGTCAAAGCAAATTTCAACAGAGGAAGTTCCCAGAACAAAAGATATATAAACATATGCACTCAGAAACCCACTGCAAAAATACCTCCGCTTTGGCCACAACTACAAAGCCTACATGGCAATTTCTTCTGGGTACTGGTCTCTGGCACGCATTTTATTACACTGAATATGCATAGTTTAATTTTATTTTGCATTCAAAGAGTTTAATTCCCCCTCCAGAGCTTTGAAGTTCTGTTCTGAAGCAAACTGCAAACAAGAACTATGGCAGCACAGTTTTGATCTGCATTTTTTCCAAAGTATGGATTTCAGAATAACAAAAAGGCCCTTGCTGGTATGATCAAAGAAACTAATGAAAGTATTAAAGCTTCTCAACAACACGTATTAGCAGGTGAAGCCGTAAGAATTATGAAATATTTGTCCCCACATCAACATTCTACGCAAAGATCCATAACGTACAGAAGAAACAGCGTGCTTCTCAATATTGTCTCTCCTATAGCAACACTTGTAAAATAAATAAAAAGTACTTAATGACAATTAGTTCAGAGCCAGTAAAGTTCAGAGGAGACAAAGCATTGAAATTCAGGCTTGTAAAGTCTGGGACATTAAAATCTGAAGTCAATAGGAGTAGCTAAATGTGCAAAAGTTTAAATGTGCAGATGAGCTTCAGTGTTTCACTGAATTAAGGCCTGAATACACAAAGTATGTGTGAGAAAAGTCCTTGGCTCCAAATTTCAATTCATTGTTAGTGCTACATGAGGTTTTAGACTACTGACGTGTAAGGCTTATATATGCCAAAGCATTGTTTGTGGCTCTTGGGAGAGCTCTACTACGATCTGGCATGAATGTCACAAAAATATTCAGCTTGGCTCCCAAACTCTGTAACCACCTTTATTCTAGGGAGAAAGATGATTGAAACGGTAATCATGTTCCTAGATGGCCAAAAATGTGATTCCAACTGGAAAAATAAAGGGCCAAATAAATATGGCGTGGGTACAAATTGGTGAAATTTCAATAACCTCAATGGAGTTGTGCCAGCTTACGATGACAGCAAAAGGGGCCAATAATTTTGCAGGCTTGTCGTGACTTTTAACACAATGCAGTGACAGAGGTCCTCGGGTCTTGAGTGATCACCCTAAGCCCAGCTGGCAATGCAGCTAAACACATTCTAGCTCTTCTATTTACATGAGGCACCCCGGGGCATGTTGTACATGACACTGCAAACCAGCTTCTAATAACCACTACATGCGGAAGGACTTCAGGTGTCTGATACCATTTTTCACTTTATTAAGGCACAGCAAACTGTCTGAATAACAAGAAGTGAAACTGTGATTTTAGTAAGCTCCCTGGGATTTTCCCATGGTATCTGGTTTGGCGGGGCCACGATTTCTTCCTTGCTTTCTGTCTGTCTACTTACTTATCTTTCTGTCTCCCCATACATACACACGAAGGTGCATGCATCTATATATAAACATGAATACATTCACATTTTTACACACACCAAGAGTTGTACATGCACGCAAGCACACACAAATTCCTCCCAAGGCAGATGCCTCCTGCAAGGGCTAGGATCATTTGAACGAGGCGGGCAGAGCGGATGGGATTAAATAATGTGGAGGGTCTCATGTATGTCACATACACAGAGGGATATTTGAACCTTTATATACAATCCTATAATGAAATTTAACTGTGTGTAATGGACCTATGGGGCACTTAATTATCACTCAGACTCCTACTAATTCAAAGATCCTAAGACATCCATGCCTGCTTTTCTGCGTAGGACTAAACTTACCCCAGTTTAATAACTCCAATCTGTAAGCTGTCACCTTTACTTCTTAGTTCTAGAAGCTTTGCTTCTAAACAAATGCCATGAAAAATGCTGATTTTTATTACGTAAGAAATAAGAGTGGTTTTATTCATCTCAGAAAACTACTAGGGTACTTGGAAATGCTCTCTACGAGTTTCCTTTGACATCCAAAGATAAATTTTAATAGGCCCTGTTCCTTGTGCTAGTGCGTATAGGAGCAAGAGGTGTCATATTTAGAAACTAAATGCAGGAGCTGAGGTAGGAGATATTTACAGCTTGGTAACCGAGATACTTATTTTAAATGGCAAATAAGCACATTGGCTGAAACTCTAGAATGAAAGCAATCGGTTGTCATAAATATTTGTGAAGTTCATTTTGTTGTTAAGCTGATTAGGGGCAATTTGTCCTGGCAAAGTTGTGAAAACCTACTATTACAGAGAATACTTAAAAACCCCAAAATACAGGAGAAGGAAAAGTGTGTACAAAAATAAAACCAAAACCCAACGCAGAAGAAATGAAGTGAGGCAACCAAGAGGAAACTGCTAGGAGTCAGATATGGTGCCTGGGTCTTACATTGCTCTCATGTTGTTCTCTGGAAGAAGTGGAATTTCCAGGACTTTGGTGTTGGAAAGTATTGTTTCGTGGCTGGTGGTGGAAACGGTCTTCCCGGTGATTCGATGAACCTGGTAGAAAGCATGGGGTCGCAGCAGGCGGTCGTCTGCAGTCCCAATGAACAGCTGTAGCGTGAGCGGCTCGCTTTCTAAGTAACCATGTAGCTGGCAAGAGAACAGAAAACGCCCACTGAGCACCATGCACATAAACTGCTAGGAATCAATTAAATTTTTATAAGCAGGAGAGCCTAATTCAAGGAGAGAACTTGTGACAGGTGCTATGTGTTAAGTTCCCCCCTTCCATTTTTCCTGTAACGTAATATTGGTACAATAAAAAGGTGCACTCAGAAAATGTCTCATTATCCTGAAGGACCTGAGGCACTTTAGACGGGGTGAGCTTTTGAGGGCTCCTGCTACGTCCACAGAAAACTTTGCATAAATTCTGCCGTGGTGTTTGGCAAAAACCACAATGAAGTCAATGTTCCCTCCCAGTACTGAGCGTGGCAAAACCACCGGGGTTTGCGAGTGGAAAGGACACAGCTCATCCATCCCCAAGCTTCCTGGGTCATCCCTCGTGCAGCAGCAGGCTGCTGCTCGTGACACGTCCCCTCATTAACTGATTTTTATGCTGGTAAATACCTCCTGGGCCAGCGTGGAGACAGATCACATATACACAACTAGGAGCTCACCATGTGTGTCAAATTCTTGTTATAATCGCACAAAAATCTCATTGAAGCTACTGGGCCTGACTTGAACCTCATCCATGTTACAGTGACCGCTCTGATGACAACACAAGTTATTTCTGCCACTGGCTGGGGACGGAGCAGGAGCAGAGCCTGACCTCATCCCCACCATCTCCTGAAGAAGCTCCTCTGGGTACACGCTGGTGTGAAGGAGACCACGGGTGCTGGCCCCAGAGGAGCTCCAACCTCCGCTTTACGCTGCCATCCAACCCTGGGAATTGAGCCTCACAGAAGTAGTTATTTTGCAGTAGTCAGCTGTGAAGCCTCGTCCCATGGGAAGGGAGGATGCAGCAACTATAGGAGAGAGGAGCGTGGGCAAGGTGGGCTGTCCCACGAGATGCACCATCACAGAGCAAACCTGCTCACTTTGTTGTAGGTTCGGTTTCCTCTGTGAATGGTTCAGGTGGGTTTGGGCACGAGTTATCCACCGTCACTAAATGCGATAGATCAAAATTAGACTACTGATTGTGATTTTGAGAGGAGAAACAATTTTAGTTTATGGTGCTTGTGAGCTCAAAGCTAAATAAAGCTGAAAGCAAGCGGTGAAACCTGTATCAAATGTTGTCGATATTTGTGTTTCGCTTGCTTGCTTTCACTCTCCTTAAATCTTAAAAAGTAATTTGTGGCTTCATAATAACATAAGACCTATCTCTCCAGGGTATTTTACCTTCTGACAGCAGGAATGCTATTAAGAACAAAGATCTTGAGTCACTTTTGCTCCCTGAGCACTGCAAAATTCTGGTGAGTGCAAACACAGGCACGAAGCCTTCCCACTGCTATCAAACACACTGGTGGCAACAGGAATGCAAAACGGCAACTTTTCAGGTACCACGGTGACCAATGCATGAGCAAGGAAGGACCTTGTGCCTAGACACATCTTCTATCACTAATTGGGTGTACTACAGATTTTTCACCCCACACTCTGGTCAGAAGAGCCAAGAGGAAAACAGAAGCGCTTTAATTTGTTTGATGGAGCGTAGTGATTTTTACGTCCTTACCTAAAGCGCGTGGATGCTGGGCGGACGCAGGGACAGGACAAGGAGGCTCATTCCCAGCGCTACAGTATTTTATCAGCTCCGCATTGCTGAGACACCACGCGAAGGCAGCTCAGAGCCAGGGGGTTGTGATATGATATGGGGGGGGGGGGGTGTCTCTATCCGCGTTGTCAAATTGAAAACACATTAGCGGCAGTTTGAAAACCTGCGGTATCGGCGAAACGACAGAGAGAGGAAAGCAGAGCCAAGCCTGCACGTTGCCTTCAGCAGGGTGCCGCGGGCTGCGCGTCTCCGTTCAGCCCCACGCAGAACACCCGCAACCCCTGACACTGATGTTAGTGCTATGCTGCAAAAAGAGGGTTTTCTGGCTTTAAACCCCTCAGGTAGAGGCGCAACCTGAGCTGCCTGGCTCCCTGGCACAGCCGGCAGCCACGGAGAAGCCACCGTCCTCCTCGTCACCACCCCGTCCCTCCCCGCCTCGCAGCCCAGGACGGTCACTACCGTCACCGGCACGCACGAGCGGGGCTGGTGGAGTGACCTGGATTCGGCCCGGGCTGATCTCACCCCGCCTCGGCATCTCCAGAGCCTCAGCGGCAAAGCCAAGGTGACAGAGGAGACGCAAGGTATCGCGGGGTATTTTTGATGGAGAGCGGCACGCAAGTTTGCAGGGGGGGAAAGTAAGACAGTGTGACACACCGGCCGATTAAATTTCTAAGCGTTACCAGCGGTCACTTCTCCAACTCGTCATGGACGGTGCTTTTTATGGGGAGTGTAAAATTAAAACAAACACATATAGAATTACAAGGCCGCTTAAAACGTAAAAATAGACTAGCGAGTAACTCAAACCTCAATTCAGCAAAAGCAAAATCGCACACCGAGGTACCCATATGTTTTACTGAATCCGGGCAAAAGGGTCAAAAAATGTTGGTCTTGCATTGGGTTCTGCTATTTCAGACTTTATCTTTAAATCTGAACTCGGCTGCTGCCATATCTCGTAACCTACTTCTGAGTCTCAGCTTGTGCTTTTCCCACAGGCTTCCTACTAGGATGCAATCAAACACCCAAAGTTCTCAGCTTTGCACACCTGCCCTTCCCCAAAAAGTGTTCACGTGCTGGAAAATAAGAAGATCTCAGATGCACATTTTGCATTGTTTTTTAAGGTCTGTGACCTTTAAACTAGATTTATGTTTGGTTTTTTTAAAGGCCCTGTTGTACAGCCGTGCTGGGCTTTGCTTTGGATCCATTACCCACAGTTACTTACTCCCTGACTGCTGCACCTGAAGACAAGTAGTTGTTACAGCACTGAACGAACAGAAGTTTTCAACAGCTGGGAAGTGTCAAAAACATCCAGAAAGACTAATGTAATCACTACACAGTTGATTTTGCCGCCCTCAAAACAGGCAAAATCCGCACTCACGTCACTGTAAGTTTTATGTCATATTCTGCGGTAGAAGGCATCTGATCTCCAATACGTATTTCCCTTTCAGTTTTACCCATTGCATCACATTATTTACTTTTATATTATGTCACATAATTGTGTATGCCAACAGAAGCAATAAAAGAACGATGCAAGGATTAACATTTAAAGGGGCACATACTGTGGATGACTCATTTTAGTTATGCACCCAGCACACGATTTCTGTGACAGACAGCGTTGAGCTTTGGGAGTTTTCACCATGCTGCAGATGTCTGGAGAACGGGCAAGATTTTGCTTACTCTCAGCTGGGCGCAGCGAGACTATTCTGTGGCTTCCTCAAGATATAGGAGAGCGGTATTACCGTCCCATCGTTCAGCAAGTCGACAAAGGGAGTGGTGGCAGTGAAGGCAGAGCTGCGGTACTCTAGACTGTTAGATTTGTCAACAGGTAAAGGGAATATCGAACAAGACAGATCTAAAATGGGATGGGGGAAAAGGGGGAATGAGTATTTTTCTTGATGAGGAAAGATCTCGCGTGTTCACATCCATGCATATTTTCCACGCATGCTCTGGAATACTGTACTCGGTGGTATAATGATTCTGTTTCCTGGCGTGCGACATGGGATGCATGCGTCAGACACCCTATTTTTATCTTTTTCTCTGTGTAACACAGTCCGAAGCTCTTCTCTTAATAACTCAGTGGCTGAGTATGGGTGACAAAGGCTGCTCTCGGCTATGGCATTCATAATAAAGGACGTGCCTTTCCTACCGAGCATGCTTTACTTGGCAATACGTAGATCCAAGTGGAAAGAGCTGTACTTTTCCCTGCTGTGAAAGTGTAAAAGGACTTAGCTGCAAATAAGGATCAGGTGCACAATGTTTTTCAATGAGTTTTCCTTCCCAAATAAAGGTGACGATACAGCAGTCTCCTGGTTTAGTACAAAGGCAAGATGCAGGCAAAACTTAAGTAGGCAGATAAGACCTCTGTGGTCAGTGGTTTTGGTTTTGAAATGAAAGTGGGTCGTGTTCTCTTGTTCTGACGGACCACTGACTACTCTGCTCTTTTTTTTTGAGCAACACTGTTAAAAATATTTGAACTGGTCTCAAACGATATTTGCATTTATATTGTCTGAAGTTGCTAAGATCAGAATCAGACTTAATTGTGGGCCTGTTTCACACTCCTCTAATTCTATCAAAAGCGATGCAGTCACTGGTAATTAACACCAGAACAGGACCGATCACAGTTAAGCTCTTTGTCACTTTACATCATCTTACGCAAGAGCGAGGGAAAGGCTGCACCGGTTGGGCGACTGCTCCACCGCACCAAGCTTTCCCTTGGGATTCCTACACCTCTCCGTCATCGCTTTCGCAATGCCCTCTTTCCACCAACACGTCTTGATTCTCACCAGTGGATTGCTGCTCATCTCGGTGCAGGGTGCCAAAGCAAATCCCAGCCTTTCCCCGGGGAGACGCGCTCTGCACCGTGCATCGGGGCTGAATGTTTTCCATGCATCCAGGCACCGCAGTGCTGAACACCAGGCGTCTTCCTCCGGCGGCCAGAAAAGCAGGAGGGAAACAGTTCTGTTTCACCTCTTGCAGCCAACATCCGACTGCAAGGTACTAGCTGATTCAGTCTTACAGCAATGATAACCTCAGGTTTATCACAGACGTGAGCATATCCAGCCTGCCTGGATTCCAACCGCGTGCCTGGTGCCTATCTATGAAATCTGGCGATCAGAATTAAACAGACTTGAAAAACGATGAGCAGGAGGAGGTGAGGTGCTTTTAACAGGAGCATTAGAAAAAAAAAGCAAAATCTCCCCGAACCTTGCTACAGTTACCGGATTTTGAGGAATTTTTGCAAACATCGCGTCCAACGACTCAAACGCTATTTCGGCATCGGTGGTTATTCTAGAGTCTGTGAGGAAAACTTCTATTACTTAAGCCACGACATTTATTTTAAGAAACGCGGCTGAAATATTCTGCGTGCTCCCTTCCAAGTGCTTTATGC